TACTGTTTTCTAAGCAGTAGTGGGACTATGTTTATTCTGAACATTCAGTGTTAAGGTATACTTGAATTGAAGTGTTTAACTCTGCGTACCATATGTTCCTCTCATGGAGACAGACATTTTTACTAAATCATTTCACTTGTCCAACTGGGTGTTTTATTGACTCGTCATATTTTTCATCTGAACTTCCTTATCTACAATATTTTATATTTTAGTTGTAACTTGTAAAGGAAATTTTCATGTGGGTCTCTCTTATTAAGAGTATCTTCAAAAATGTTTGCTGTAATGTCAGTACCTACTAAATACAAAAACCAGACTAATCTTTCAGATGAAAAGCAAATGGAGACTTAATCTTGCAAACACATGCGTTTGTTTACTTTTAAATTTGTGAGGATTCCTGTTGTTTTCCAGTGCTTCACAGACACTTTAATTGAAACAATCCTGGAGATGATTTGCAGAAATAGACATCAAAAAGCCTGTGCATTTCCAGCTGTACGAAAGGCCCTGCCACGACCAAGAGGAACTGTATTGAAACCTACATCAATGACAGAAGAGTGGCAGAGTGGAGCTGGAGGAAAAAAATGCACCTCCTTTTTCTCATCTTCCATTTTCTGTGTTCCTCCTCCTTTGTCAGAGGATGGGTGTACAAAAGGAGCTGGATCGAGGTGTCAGTGCTAAATAGTGGTATGAGAACCACTTGACTTCCTGCTTTATGAGAGAGGGTTACATCTGAGACACTTGTAACTCCAGGCTGCTTTAACTGATTTAAATGTTCTTAGCATGTTTCTCTGCATGATGACTGTCTCCGGTAAAAGGTCCATCTAACCCAGTATCTGTTCTTCCGTAGAGGGCAGTATCGGACGTCTAGTAAAGATAGTTCTTGATGTGGAGAGAGATCTAAGGTCCAGCTGCAGGATACTTAGGTGTGGAGCTCTATATAGGCGCTGAATAATAGCTTTTAATCCTTGGGATTATGTATGCTTTGGAAACTTAATCAGAACCTTTGAACAGGTGTTGCTTATGTAGGAATAAATTTTGATAACTTGCCTTGAATGAAAGGCTGCTCTGAGAATGTATTTTAGTGCCTAAAGAATTGCCACTAACTTCAGGGCAAAAAAGGGCATAGTGTTTTTAAATGCTTTGAAGTATAACAAGTTGCCAATCCTTATTTCCAGGAGCACAAAGTCCTCTTATTCCTTGGTGTGCAGCCTGTAGACCCTCTATTTGTTGTCAGACAAGCTCTTGGTATCAAGGTGAAGCCTATAGCTGTCCTAGTGAATCACTGTGTGCGATTTCCAATATTGAACAAGGGGAAGGAAGCTGTTCCTGGTCTTCTGAAGTGAGATTTAATATGAATGGGGCTTCATAGTGTGACTGAAGCTTCACAGGAGAATGCAAAAGCATTGGGTTGCCAAATTGTACTACCATTTGCTGAGGGGGAGTTTAGTTGTTAATGACACTGGGCAGCAGATGGCCTTAGAAGAGTTGTTAAGACACTGTAGATCGTACTGTAAATATGTGGGTGAATGGAACCAGGATGCTGATGGTTTGCTCGCACAGCTCATCATGAGAAGGTGACTGGAGTGGAATTCAGAATTGCCAGAACATGAATTTCTTGGTATTTGGCAGTCTGCTTTATATCTAGGAAGAATTTTGCAACATAATAGTGGGATGGTTGTCGGGATACACTTAGTAGTGTAAAGTTCAGAACAAAGAACTTTATATGCCTAGTCAGCCTTGCTTGGCCACTTCTGGTCTTTGGACCTGAAGGTACTTCAACCTTTGCAGTTTATCTACAAGAACAGTACAGGAGTTAATTTCAGTCTTCTGTTTTTCTTTGAATCCAAGAGAGCAATTAATTCATATTGCAAAAGAATCTGAATTATTGAGCCAGAAAATAAGCTGCTACAGGAAAAAGTCCTCTTTTCCCTACCACAGACTTGGTCTTGAGCTACTCTTCTCTTTTTCCTTCTAATGAAATCCAGCCCCTTCATCCAAACCAAAATAATACAATTGTGGATTGGGGCTTTTTATTTTGATTTAACAGGCTGACACACAGTATTTCATTCCAATCCTTTGCTAAATTTTTATCTTTTTTCTCATCTCAACCTCCTTACTCATGCAACTTCTAGTGTGGCTTGAAGAAAGTAATGATATAAAGTATCTTAAGTGTGATTCACAACATGAAATACAGTATGTGGAAATTATACAGATATATCAAAAACTTAGTGGACAGTGTGCAAGGACACAGCTCTTATTGTTCACTAGGGACACTTAATCATGCCTGTGCCCTGACAAAAGAAAACCAAATTAAAAACCTCTGATAAACTAGCCAATGGAAGCTGAGTTTTTGCCCTGTGTTTGCAAGTGGGATGAGCAGGTAGAATTTGAGACTCAACTGTGTAGTACTAACCCATTGAAACTAGGGTTCTCCTTGATGCCATGATCTTCAGTGCAAGTGCAGTCTTCATGAGCAAATCTTTAGAAGCCATTTTCCTCTGAATCTGATGTCTAGGTGTCATCTTTTTCTGGGTAGTTTCTGGGGGTTTTTTAATTATTATTTTGTTTTTTCTTTTAAATTAAAATGGCTGTTCACATTCTTCCTTCCTTCTTCCTCTCTCGACAAACTCCTAGCTTAAGTAAGATGTAAGCTTAAGAATTCATTTATTCTTAAGGGGGGAAACAAGCTAGTTTGGACAGGTGTTTGAAAGGACACATCTACTGAATCAGTGTCAGTAGTTCAAAGTAGCTCAGTAACTGGGTCCAGCTTCTTGCTTTGTCTCTTCTTGTTTGGACTGTCAGGCTGCTTGGAGGGTACTTGTCTTCATCTTGTGATCTCTTCAGAGATGCAGAACAGCTTTGCTGCTATTCTGTGATGCAAGAGGCCGTCAGGTAACTAAATCAACTGTGAATAGGACTGACTAAATGTAGGGTGCCCATTAACCAACAGTCATTCAACTGAAACACACATCGGTTGTTGCTGTTTTCCTCACATGAGGGTAGCACTAACAGATTGTCTCTGTATTCTGGCCTCTCAGCAAGATCAAAAAGGTTTCATGAGCTTCCTGTCTTTATAGTGGTAGTATTGTCTTTGGTGCAAGATGTACTTCTGGCTTTGAGAAGTTTCAGTGTCTTGGATAATAGCTGCTTAATTTGTGATGGTGTTCAGCCTGAATAAATACAGGTGACTATATGGTAAGTCTGGACTCCTGAATGTCAGGCTCTTATTTCTGTGTTCCCACAACAGAGCTCTGCACTACATTTAGCATAATTTGTGATGTTTGTGCACTGTTTATTTCCAGGAGAGTGTAATCTCTTCCACTGTCAAAAAGGCCAAAACCTTCATACCAATTTTTTTTATTAATTGCATCAACAATGTAACTTCAGGAGAATTGTATTTGGTCTCTATTGTTTAGGCTTTGATTAAATCAAAACCTGTATTTGCTAGTACTTGTGATTCCTAGTCTTGCATAAACATAGTATCTGTTTAAGAAGAGCTGAAACATTGTTTGCCAGTCCATTGCATCTCATCAAAGTCATATTATAAAGTCTAATTTCTGAAAGGAAAACATTTTAATACTGGCAGTTACTGTTCTGGTGAAATATTGAGGCAGGAAACAGCTGAATTATGTCAATTAAAATCCTCAGTTAACTTTTGTTAAGGAATAATTTAAAACATCAGTAGTAGTAGTACATTACCCTTTAGTTTCTGAAGGCACATAATTTGTGCTATCATTGAGTGACAGATACGCATGGGCCAGTTGGAAAACACCGCAAAGGGAGGGCTTTTAAATGTTCGATTTGCCTTAATGACTTTATAAAAAAAGTCTGCTGAAAATCTCCTGCAATGAATATGACCTTCAACAGTAATATTTATGTAGTGTAATTAGAGTGTTTGCTAGGGATCCTGTTATTGTTCACAATGTAGTTAGACTTATAATCTAGTAAATGTGACATACTGTAATGTTCTGTTTTGTAAACATTATTGACTCCATTTTAAGACAGAGATTGCCTCATGCCAACAAATAAAAGAAAATCATGGCCTCATAAAAACTTCTAATTATTTAGATGTGCACTCTGAGGGTTCCTGATGCAGTCAAAGTTGAGACTGAACCGAGGTAAATCTTGAGCCCAGGTGCAAGCTTCGGTGCAGGTGGTTGCCAACCTTCTTTTATGTAAACCTCAGCTGTCTGCTTAAATCTCACAAAGTTTAAGGGGGAAAAGATGCAAATGTGAATAGTTTTTAACCTCATTTGCACAGGCATATTAATATTGTGCTTCTGCCTTATTTTTCATATTTCTAGATAAAAACTAGATACTGGTTTCTTGGTAATACAACGTAGCCGTATATGTGTGTTGATCAGTTATTCACTCATAAGAAGTAACTGAAAATGGACTTTGCTGAACAGTTCGTCTTTTAGGGGTGAACTTAATTTTTTGTAAATTTTGTTGTACCTTAAATGGACAAGAACTTGGATACTAGATTATTTAAGCAGTAAGCAGAATGGGTCATCACTAAAAATTAATTTTTATTTCATGTTTGCTGTTAAAGGCTTTTAATAAAACTGTTGTATTGATGTTGACTACTCGAGTCATTCATTTTTTCAACTCAAATAATGAAATCATCCAAGTCTTTTAGGCTCTGCTCTTTTGAGACCTGTGTGTGCTACACTAACTCAGAGGATGGCCTGCTTCTCTTTGTTAGTCTCAGAGCATTTTTTGTCCTTGTCCCTCTCTTCAACGGTCTCTATGTTAATCAAAATATTTTACAGTACTGGTAATAATTTCTGAAGAGTATAAAGTGACTGCTCTCAGCAATGAGAACAGACTACAAATAGGAGGCTTTTTTGATTTGCTGGTATTGCAATAGCTGCTAGCTGCTAGGTGCTGTTTCTGCCGTCAGCCACTGTACAAACAGTGCAGAAGACATATGCTCGTAGAGCATCTGTAGTCTAGGTGGCTTGCTCTAATTGCAGTCTCTCACTGTATAAACTTTCCCACAGCTGTGCCAGCAAACATCGCAGACCTGAGAAACATAGAAGTGCTCAACTTTTTCAACAACCAGATTGAAGAGCTTCCTACACAGATTAGCAGCCTTCAGAAGCTCAAACACCTGAATCTTGGGTGCGTATCTTAATGCAACAATTTGCTGTACTGTCAAACATTGTCGCAACTGAACCTGGAACTTTTTTTTTTGCTATTAAAGTTTCTTTTTGAAAGTGTTTGTGAAGAGAATTTGGCAGTTATGGCTTCAGAGTAAAATTGATTGAGCACTTTGGTATACTGATAACCATTTAAGGGTAACAGCGACTCACATTCATCTAATACTGAAGTCAGACTTAAAAATTACAGAATTTTACTTCCCTAGCAACTATCTTAATTCTGTGGTTGCTGCACAAGAACCAGGCTCTATTTTCTGTTCTGCTTTTGGCGGGGAGGGAACCAAATGCGAAGTTTTCAATGTTAATTTCGGACTTTAATTCCAAAGTCCCAAATTTGGCAATGAAGAAATTGCAATTTCTATTAAACCCATAGAAGAAACAGCAAATCATTAAATGTAGTGTACATTTAATTCAAATTCAATTGACTGAATTTAAGCCAGAGGCATTAAATATGTTCAGATACTATATTCTAGTGAAGTTGGTGATACTTTAGAATAACTACAGTTGCAGAAGGCTGTCTTGATTTATTGAGAAAATAAATGTGAAGCACAGAACCTTCTTTAACTGGGCATATTAAAGTGTAACTACTGAGGAATGCACTGGTGTAGGGGTGAGCTTGGGCTTTATAGGCTTCTCATAGAAAGAATGTTGGTATTTTAGAAATTCCAACTTCTGAACACCTTAAACTGAGGATTTTTTAACTATTTTAAATACCAAATTATTTTGACTAGGCTCTCTGTATCCTTTAGATACTTCAGATACTTCTGTAAAGTGCTGATAATTGAATTGCATCTTGAACTGTTGGAATGCCAATAAATGTTTCTGTGATGATCTGTCTTCTCTGGTCTTTGTTTGGTCACTTTAGATCTCTAGCATGCCTTAATGTCTGTTCAAACCTGCAGTTGCCTTTCAGAGCAAATATTAATTCATGATCAGCATTATGGTTATATCCATATTTTTGGAATGGCATATAGAAGTGTTGCCGTGTATGAAGGGAGGAAGAAGTTGGACTTTTTCAGTGGATTAAAGGAGTGACAAGTGTTAGTGTAGTTCAAGTACCAATCTTCATTAATGGAAAAAATGTAATGCAAAAGCACACTTTGGGTTAAGACCAGTAGACATTCAGGTCTGAAACCACAGCTGCCACCTTCATGTCTCATGTGGCCCAAGATCTTTGAAGAGCATTTAACCTACTTCTTAATCCCTGCTGTACCCATAATCTTCCAGGCACAGGTTTTACAGCCAAGCCTTAGCTTTGCAAAAGGGGCTCTGCTTCAGAGGTCCCTGGTCAGTGAGGAGGAAACTGTTCTGCCCCAGTAGTTTGCTTGGGGTGGTGGGGCAGACTAGAAACCCTCTTGCAATCTACAGTGCGTGTGTACACACAGGGCATCCAAGCAGCGCTCTGGGGGAGAGGGGAAGCTTGCATAAGAGCATAGATTATTTTGGGGAGGATTTTGATGCAGAAGGGTCAAGTGGCAGGGTGGAAAGAGGGAAGGTGTACTGCTGCACTGAAAGCTTAAAAAAATCTGTAAGGCAGGTGTGGCACAGTTTCTGTGGCACAAGCTCGATGTTTGAATTTAGGCAGGGCTGGATAATGTTGGGTGGGGAGTTTCAGCTGGTTCTTTCTCCGTGCCAAAGAACAGATACCATTCTGCCTGAGGGAAGGCTATCAGGGCCACTTATTCTTTTTACTAGTGAAAAAGGAGCTGGTTTCTTTAGTCCTATTTGATATAAAGAACAATTTTTAAAACAGTGGCGAATCTGCAGTAGCAGTAGTGAGGAATGCCTTTCTCGTTTTTTGATAGCTACTACAACAGCAGTAATAGTAGGTGCATGTCCCTGGTAGGACTTCTTATGGGGGATGATGAGGAAAAAGATTTCATCTAGAGTTTAGCTACAGAGAGCTGATCTCTACAGTTTCTTGTTCTGGTGGGGATGGCTTATGGAAAAGTGGGAGAGGAAAGGTGAGGTCAGTATCTGTGAGCATAAAAGACACAAGAAGTCCATGTGACATGTCTTTGCTCCCATGGATGTGAAGTCATCATGCTTAGTCTGGAGATGCAGCTGCTTGTGTTTAATTCAACATCCAAAGAACTTTTAGAAGGTGGGCTTACTAACCGCTCTACAGATGTATTTCATAGTATTTGTCACATAGTGTAGCACAGTGTTTGACAGACATTGCATGGCGGGGAGGGAAGGCCCTAGAGATTACAGCCAAAAGTCTTTATTATTTTTTTGGGTACTCAATTTTGTCAATACTTTGACTTGAATTTTCATAGTTTTTACTGTTGTGTCAAGCTTCATGCGTTCACATGACCTCTCCTCTTGACTTCAGTTGTGGCTCTTGCTATTTATCACTTCTGCATCAGGAGAGTCAAATTCAGAATATATTTAGGAGTAACGTGAAAGGTCATGATCATTTCCAGTCATCACATTCAAATAAAATCCAGTTTTTCAGAATAACTAACTGTACATGCTCTTCTTGAAGATGCATATCTTCTCTGTTCTACTTTCAAACCCAGGTGATAACAGAAGCAAGATCCATATGTGCAAACTTTGGTGTACAGGCAACAGGAACGGTATAAATAAAAAGCTGGTTCTTTTCTGTTCATATGATAAGCAGACAGAACTCTAGCTTGTACACAAACAGTAAGGTTCTACATATATGGTCTCCAGCTCCTTGCCTTTCTTTGTTGTTGCAGCATCTCTGGTGACTATCTGGATCACCTTGTTCATGCCCTTTGAGGTCAGAGAAAAGTTACTGTTTTCTGTAGCTTGCCTGCTCCAGGTTATCGGAGAAACCTTTTCCTTCTGTTATCTTTCCCCATGTTCTTCTGGCTGCTGCCAGTGGGAACTGCTATCCTAAACTCTCCAAGGCTGGGTGATTGAGCTATATTTAGACTGAGCTTCATCAATCAGAGGACTGACATTTTATTTACTTTGTGCTCCATGTGCATGAGTAATTATCTAGTGACACAAATTTGCTGTTCTGAAGAAGGGGTTTGAGCAGCAATAATCAATGGACATAAAGACCATGCAGTTGACGTATTCCTCTTTGTATTTGGTGCCATAGTGAAGAACTATGTGGTATGGGGGAATGGCAGATGGTCCAGATGATGTGCAAAAGGGTAATTCATAGTTTGGCTAGAAGATAGGTCATCTTCCAAGGACCAGTTTTCTCCATGGCACACCATTTAATCTGAGTATAGCGCTGTGGGACCTCTCTCCCTTGTGCTTTGAGTTTCAGGTGTGGCTATTGGTTGAAATAACAGATGCGATACCTTGCAAGTGCGTAAGTTTTGGGTATATTTATGGGAGTGAGAGATAAAGGTCTGCATTGCAGAAGGCTTGCTCAGTATCTTGTAGCATCAAGCTCTTTTCAAAACAAAAGGGTAGTTTGATTTAGATTACATTTTTTAGAAATTAATTTCTTGTTGCCTGTGTTATTACTATTGGATGAAGTGAATACTGATGTCATGTTCTGTTTTTTCCTCTTCACCTACAGCATGAACAGGTTAAACACCTTGCCAAGAGGATTTGGCTCTTTACCAGCTCTGGAGGTTCTTGATTTGACTTACAACAACTTAAATGAAAATTCTCTACCAGGAAACTTCTTCTATCTGAGTAAGAAACTTTTCTAAAAACTCTACAAATCTTCATGATATGGTGCTTTGCTTTCTGCAGTTGAAATTTGTTTGATGCAGACCAAACTCCAACAGAATTTTTTCTGATATTTATGTTTTTCTTTGACAATCCCTTGAATATTTCTACATAGCTCAGCAATATTTATTATTGATATACAGTCACCTGACCCCATTGGACACAAGAAGACTTGGTTAGTAATGGTATATTAGTTTTCTTCTGAGTAATATTTCCTTGGGTCCTATACTCAGTTAAACTTTGTAGAAGCTTGCAAGCCTCAGGGGAAAGTAAACTGTTTTGGAAGGCAGCTGTTGTGTGTAGATTCTGGAAACTGATGGTTCGTTACTGAAATAGTTTTAACAGCATGTGGATGTTGAGGTGACCAGTACATTAAAAAATAGGTGTAGGTTACAAACCTTGGCTCAGGAATGGTGGAGCTAAGCTGACCTTTGCCCATGTTAAAAATAAATGCTCAGAGAGTTAAAATAAAGGTATTATAATGCATATGTGCAAAAGGGCTGCTTTATGGTTGCCTAAGCAACCTGAATTCTGTCACTTTTTGGATTCCAGTAATTCTACTACCTTACTGATCTTTTCAGTGTACTATGCTGAAGTGGCTTCAGGATCGGTGCATTTAGCAGCAAAAGTGACAGGCGAGGGGAGAGGAAGGAGTGCCGCTATATGAGAGATTTTTGTGACTGTAACCTGGCAGAGGGGAATTTTTAAGTCAGCATTATTAAAAATGGTCACATGTAATGAAATGAAAAGAGGAGGAGGAGGAGTAAACTGCATAAGACAAATGGGATCTCTGGTGGGGAGGAGAGGTTTTGCTGACCTGATCACCTTCCTTCCTGCTGCACCCAACAGTTGTGAGTCTCTGTTTTAATTTTTTTTTCAAACTGTCATGTATGTTTTTTTCAATAATAGCAAGCTACATGGTTGTGCTGGGTCATCGCTCTTTCTGTGAATGTCGTAGAGACTAAGGATGGAAATTACAGATTACACAATTTGAGTCTTTTGTGTTGCTTTCTTTTAAGGTCTCTTTCCCAGTGTTACGCTGTGCTTTCTATAGAGCTTAACGTAGATGTGTATTTGTCAAAAAAACCTCAGGTGATTTTCTAAAATGTTCATTTAGTATGTAAATTCAGGTAATAAATAAGAATTTGGGGTAATAAACAGTAATGAGTGTATAAACAGCTGAGCGTTGAGACTATATGCCAGAACGTACGAGAATCTACTACTATAGCAATTGTTAATTGTGCCAGTCCTTTTGAATATAGATGTTTTCCTGAACTCACCAACAATACAATAAGCCAGTAAATCTAACTTTGACCTGCCTGTTGTTATTGTGAGCCCTGGGTATGTCAAAGGCTTTTCACCAAGTCGGGGTTATTAATCAAACCTGACTCCATTTTATTGATTAGACCTCAAATGGTTGGGTTATATGCCACCCTGTTTATATATTGCTATTTAATTTGCAGCCACCCTGCGTGCACTCTATCTAAGTGACAACGATTTTGAAATCCTGCCGCCAGATATTGGGAAGCTCACAAAGTTGCAGATAGTAAGTAATTTATCTAAATTCTTGGAAAATCAATTCACTTTTGCAATGCTTGTAGGAATAGAATCTAGTCAATTTGAGGAGTAGTAGGGTATGTTTGCAGGAATAGACGACTACACCTGCAATTATTTCTTGTTTACCAGCAGACACTGGTAAATAAATTGGAAGAATTGAATGTTTAGAAGGGTGGGGGCAGAGGGAGTAGAGTTCTGTTTTAGGCTGCTTTATGGTAACCAAAAATTGTTCTGACTACTTTATATTCACTCTTAGCTGAGTCTTAGAGACAATGACCTGATATCACTGCCTAAAGAAATTGGTGAGCTCACTCAGCTTAAGGAACTTCATATCCAGGGAAATCGTCTTACTGTGCTGCCCCCAGAACTAGGTAAGATTATGAAGGATCGTTTATTTATTTAAATAATGATGCACAGTGTTTCCTCTGAAACAAAGCCAGTTGTTAAATTCGAGGAAATTATTATACTTAAGTCATCATTGCTGGTAATATTTGCTTTACCCTGAGAAACACTCACTTTTTCACCCCTACTGGATACGCACAAGGGACTACAAGATGATGTGTGTTTGGTTTTACTAGTTTACATATTATGTTTCCCTTATGTATTAGTATACCTGACTGTCAATTTGTATGTAGCGTCTTGCTTTATATAATGTTTCATGAATATTGGGTCTGCAAAGCTATTGTCTCTGGCTGGGTTTTGAGAACACAATTTAGATGAGCCAAAATTATACCATGCAAAAATGACAGCTGTAAAAGTGGCTTTTTTTGTGACTGTTGCTGTAAAAATTGAAATTTGATCAACTAGAGTAAAATATAGCTAAATTAGAGAATTTTTTTGTTTTTCTGTTTCAGTAGCCTGCCTTTGTTAGTGAGTTGACAGCTCTTTCACTTAAAGCAGTGGAACTGGTTGATGTACTTTGAATTTGTGATTTTGGCCATTTAAATATGATTACAAGTGGCTTCTTTCAACCTATAAGGTAGAGTTTTTCTTTGAAACTAAAGTATTGATTTTGCAGAATTTGTATTGCAGCATTCCATTGTATGTGAGGGGCATTAACTTCAATAGCAGTCGTGCCTGTTTGCCTCAAGATAGAATTTGGTTTCAGATCTTTTATGACAATCTTCAAAAATATTTTTGTTGGGAATAATGTAGCTGTATCAATTACCTGTTGTTGAAACGCTTGTTACACAGGGTTTATTCCTTGTTTCTTGTTATTGTGGATTGTTAGGAATGCTTCTTTGTTTCTGTGAGTACCTTCCAAATAGTAGTTCCCAAAACTCAGAAAGGTAGTGACTGAAGTTAGCATGATAAAGCAAAATTATTTGTTGTCATAAGAACTTGCTTTGACACATTAGAGAATGTGGCAGCTGTGTGCATAAATGTGTCAGTCTGCAATGTAAGCTTTTTATTTTATACAGGAAAGGGAAGGATCTGCTATTTTTCTACAAGGCAGGGGAAGATGTTTGTTTTGACTCTTTGTTTACCTGCCATGGTTTTTTTTTGCTTTTATCAATCTAGTGGACTGTATGATGCTGAGTATTCTTTTTTTTTTTTTTTTTTTTTTTCCCTCACCACTGGTAGATGAAAGTTGCTCTCGTTTCCTTAATTTCAGATGTTTATTCCTTGATGCAGGTATACTTACTTTAGCTTTTTGTGGAAGTCATATTTATTTATAAAGCCTCTTTCAACAGTAATAACATTTCAGAAGCAAGTAGTACCGGTAAATGTACTTTTCTTTAGCTTCCTAAATTATAGCCTTGTTTTTTTCCAGAAAGTGGAAGTTAAATGCTTCCCTGAGTCTAACCACCTTCTGTGGCTAATTAAATGTTCTAAACATGCTGCTGCTGTACAAGCATAACAGCAAATTCACTTTAAATGGTTTTACCATCATTGTCCAAACCGAATGGAATAATTTGAAACAAGATTCTTGGTGTTTGTTTTGCACTGACCTGCAAAACTCAAGGTGACCAAGAGAAGCATTTCTCCTTTTAGTTAACATTTGTTTGTGCTATAGAACAGTATCACAATCTGGTAGAAAAAGGACTTGTAATTTTGTCACACCTGATCAGGATGAGGTGCATGGTAACACCTTAAGTGCTTGTCACCTTGGTTCCTTATTATGCAACTGCTGTTCCATAAATTATGTTTTCCTCTTCATGTATTAATTTACAAAAGTTTCATTTTATGGTCTTACCTGAGATCCTCATTCATAATTGGTTGGCCTAGTTTCTATTGCAGTTTATGCCATGTGTAGTGCTAGAACTCTATTAAATATTTAAAATGGCTTAGATTTTGGGGTATATTTCCAGAGAATATTACATTGAAGTCTAGATTTGTAACTTGTGCAAGTTGCAAGCGTATTTACTGTGCAAAGCAATGTTCTTGCTTGTTTATTAAACATATAGGAAAATGTTTAGGGAATGGATTTTGGTAAATGGAGCACCAAACTGGGCTTTGGAGGGCTTCTTTGAGACTGGGTAGGAGCAGGCCCCAGGCAAGCATGAATCTACTGAATGATTAGAAAAAAATCACTTAATCTCTGCAGCCTTGTTTTCCTTTCTGCAAACTAGGGCAATTTAGAGAAGCAGGCCCCTTTGCAGACAGTTTTAAAGTCTGCCAGGGAAAGGTGGTATGCGAGTGTTACACCCTAATGAATGGACTGCTAATTCCATAGTCGCCATCTGAGATAAAAACAATTTTATCTGCTGCCTGAGTTCTCCCTCCTATATTTTTAAAATTGAATTATAATGTAAAGAGAACTATCCAAATACTTTGTGCTGTGCATGTTTGATAAATAGCTTTTCAATGAGCAGGTCCTATTTCTGTTAATTGGAAGTACTGCTGTTCCATTTAAAGTAAACAATCTTTCCTCTCTCATTATCGCTTTCATAATTAAAGGTGCTGAAGAGTTTTGACTGCCTTAGTTTGGACACTGGTGGACAGCAACGAGTCATTAGTTCATTTACTAGGGAAATGGGCATGATATAAACACCGGAATAAAACAGTATTTGAATGAGGAGAAGGGAGAAAGTACATTAAATTGGATTTAAAAGGTAGTGGAAGTAAGTGCAGAAGAAGGCATGGAGAGTGGGGTGTGAGAAGAGGCCACAGGCAAGCATCAGGATCAAAAATACTACTAAAAAAAAAAAAATCCTGCAGTCTTCTCTTAATTTCACCCAATGTGATCGAATGTGGCACACACCAGTAAGAGGACTGGGGGCAATCAGTATTATCCTCCTCTGTGCTTAGCAGAGAATACCCTGTGCTAATTTAAGAAAAATACTCTTGCTCAGGAGGAAACAAGGGGACTAGAAGAGTGCACTGGTGCTCGGATGCTTGTCTGTAAATACAGTACATGTGAATGATGAACGCAGGAAATGGTCGGGAGTAGGTGGGTGGAATTTGCAGCTTGTTTTTATCATTTGTCTCCCAAAACCATGTTCATGAGGAATGGTGGTGGGCAGTCATATATAAACTTTAGAGAGGCACCGGCATTTTTTTCCCCTAGCATTTAAAAGGTTATGTGCTGCATTGTGAGACAAATAAATCATGATTCACTGCAACAACAGAGTTGCAGTCAGTTATATAAATTGCCAAGGAAGCACTAAATCTGTCATTTTGTGTATTCTGACCATTTAACAATTGAAACTGTGTTTGGAAAGAAAGCCGAGTAGAAACAAGAACCATATAAAGTGGCACATGCAATTAGTAAGATCAATGATGGTGTTTTAAGTTCATTGTATGGTCATCTGGGTGGACCCGTATGTTCCACAGGAAAGACTTCCTTAGTGGAGTCAGGAATCTAAGAGTAGTATAAGACGCAGAATATTCACAAAGTTCTAGCTAAATACAAATAGCCACCCAGAGAATGTAACCAGCTTATCTGTAGGTTTGTGTTTTTGATGTGAAAACAAATGTCATGTTTTTAAAATGCAGATTCTGATGTTGACATTACCCTGCCACCAGCACACGTGCGAGCACACGTTCAGGGAGTTCGCTCATGTTTATGGATATGAGAAGAACAATGATTTCTAAGGATACATTTTTAATTACCATCCTCTTTTTAAAAAACTGAATGTTGACGTCAGTGGCTTTTAAGTATACTATCAGTACTGTTCTAGTTTATCAAATAATTTCCTCAGGTAAAGGCAGACACACGATCAAAACTGTGAAGTTAGGTACATAGTTGAAGAGTGGAAAATTCAAGCTCTTTAAAAAAGAAAAAAAACTTGATGGGGTAAGTAACCATGTTCCTTTTTAAGGAGGGTGAAACATTTTGTAAATTAAATCTGTATGTCAGAATGGCTAAGTAATTCTTTAATCTTTTTTTTAGTTTTGAACAGATAAATGATCTTCTGTGGATAAAGGATTGGCTTTAAATAGAAAGTTCACAGAATCCTGCCAAAAGTCTCAATATTTCCATCACAGGAAGACATTTTAAAATTTATGCTTTTGAAATTACTCTAGAATTTGTGAATTAGTATTATATTACACAAAGTAGTTGCAGCAGTTTTTTGTTCAAGTTAATATTAATCGAAACAGCAGTTAATTTACTTGGGTAATTATAACAGGCATGTGCAAACACAGGAATCACGTTATTTCACAAAAGATACTTCTTTTCTAAATATTCTTGACGTAAATCCCAAACTTTTCTTGTTTCAGTATAAACTGTTGCTGCACCCTACCTGTGACACAACACAACTCTGCTCACACCTGCAAATACATGTCTGTGGTGCTTGTTGGAAGCCTGAACATCCTGGGGCTTTTTGGACAGCAGCTCTGAGCACTGGGACAACTAATTGATACCTTGCAATTTTAAAAAAATTACCTGTTTCTGGTTTTGGAACCGAGGCAAAGCTGGTGTAAGAAAGTAAGCGGCTTTACTAAACTTCCCAGGGGATAAACAAAATAACATGTTTTCTAGGACTACTGATGTAGCAGTTACTAGTTAAGGAATAACAGAAAACGTGCATAACAAGATAAGTCATGGGCAGATTGTGTATGTAACAAAGCCATATCTGAAAATTTGTGAATATTTTGGTTATGTTTCTCATTTTAGGCTTATTTTAAGTTAAAAAACAAAAAAGCACCACCACGAAAATGCACCACTTCTTATGTAATTGGAAAGCAGACTGATTCCACAGAGTAGTTGTTAGGAGTTAAAATGTATGGGAAGAGATGACAACTTTGCAGTTTCATTGTATGCAGAAAGATGTTTTCTATAGCCCATCATTTAGATATACACCACAGACATTCATTTCCTTACACTGCTGTAATTCTTGTCAAACTTCTCAAGATTCAGATTTGATCTTATGGTGGTTTTTAAAATATGCAAGTTCTACTGTTGCATCTGAGATGACTGCAGCGT